GCTATGCATGCAGCACAAAATGTTTAGCCAATATTTCAGTTGATAACAGTCAGGAATTGCAGAACTTGGCTTTTTAAATGTTTTTATTTAGGTGTCTGCTCGGTTTTCTAAAGGCCTTGGCACTTCTTTGCCATGTCTGGGACCCACTCAGATGTAAGATCAAAACAGTTAACATGAGAGCTGAAGTGAAAAACAAGATGTTCTGCATTGTCCTCACAGATGTAGTTTGTGTGACGAATGATGCAACTGAAACAGGCCTCAGTGTACTCGCTACCGTCATCGAGTCATCAGACTTTGTGCTGTGATGCTCACACAGGCTAAGATAGAATTAAAGGTGAACCATTATTCCTGGATTTTAAAAGACTGCAGCTTATTGGAGTCACACTTCCTCCATTTATGTCACATACCACACAGCATATGTAGGTCAGTAGTACCAAAACCCGCTTGACTCTTCTTCACTTTTCCACTAGACAAATCTGGTGCCTAGTACCGGGTTCTATTTTGGTACCACCTCCATCAAGGTTCCAGCAAGCTGAGCTGAAAAATGCTACAGATTACTGATTGGTCATGGAGAATCACATACATATGCTAATGTTAGCTACCAGGTTAGCATAGCCTCTTGCATCATCTTAACTGAGCAACCAGAATCGCCTCGTCGTCTGAACTCCGTCTCCTTCAAATTGCAGCAGTTTCATTTGCCGTCGCTATGATGACCAGCTACACTGAGGGGTACTATCTGCAGTGGAATACGAAGTAGCTGGTACCAAAAGCGAGTCGAGCCAATCAACTCGAGTCGATCCGACGCAGTACAATGTAGTGGAAAAGCGGCTTAAGTGCCACATGGTGATGCAAGCTTCTATAGAATTAGCAGAAATAACTGTTTTACACTGATCTGGGGGCAGTTTTGCTGTTTCTTCAGCCATGAAATAGTCTGGGCTTGGTTCTTTAAGACAGCGCTAGGTTTATATTAGCAAAATACAGCAGCTGCTGCTGTTGTAGACCAACAGGAAGTGTTAGCTTTTGCCTACAGAGGCTAGCATGAAAGTTTAACTCACTGATATTGACATTATAATTAAGGTGCTGGAGCAGGGTGGATTACAAAATAAAAAAACAGTGATCTATTAGTTTGTAGCTGGGAAATCTCTGTCTTTATGGAACATTTTTATTTGACATAAATGGAAATGTATAGATGTATAGATAAAAATGATAGCAAAGATTTTCTTACAGTAAATACAAGTTCTGCAAAGTAAGATTTAAATTCTTTTAACTGTACTTTTTTTGCTGCTGTATCTTTTTGTCTCTTCTATTCTCTCTTTGTGTTGAACCCTTTCACCATTAGCTCCAGATGTTCCATACTTTTGGCCTTTTGTTGGCTGCTGGCCCAGCAGAGGGACTCGTATCTTAGTAACAACGGAAAAACCGAAGGAGGGGTAGATGGGGTGAATGAGATGATGCATCTGTGCTTGAAACATTTTTGTCACACTCTCTGACCATAATGACCTCAGTCCACACTTGCTCTGACTTAGCACTTTTATGCATAGTTGATTCATTTAGATATGGTGAGCATAATGGATCAGTTATTTCAGTCTGTTCTTGGTCTCGAGAAGTGGAGCATGAAGTGGCGACTCAGTGAAACCCCACCACAGCGTCTAAACACTTTATTGCAGTTAACTGCTCATTTCTAGGATGTGCAAAGTGACCTGTATTACGAATGATGATGAAAATTAGATCTAGCGTCTGCCTTGTGAAGTGGGTCTAAGTGGCACAGCAGGTAAAAGTGGCCCAAATCCGATCTTTTTCCTCAAATGTGACACAGATGTGTCTGTGTGGCAGTGTGAACAGCAAAAAACATTGACATTTTCTATTCCGATTTGAGATGCTTTCATATGTGGTACCGAAATCTGACACGTATCCGATCTGCAGCAATGCGGCTCAGTCTGAACAGCCAGATCGGAATTCATGCGACTTTTACGTCAGTACAACTCGACATTCGTCATAATTTCGCGCTGCTGAGACTCATTTAGGCTGATGTTTCTGAACCAAAACATTAGAGGAGACTCATCAAACTGCTCCGTGTTCGAAGAGGTTTTGAACGGAACGGCCGAACGCGGCCGGAGGAGCCCGAGGCTGTAGCGTCAGAGAACAGTTTAAAGAATCTGAGGACACGAACCAAAGAAGCGGCCGTGGCAGAATAACGAGCCCTTTTACGGCGAACTCGAGCACACTGTGGGTGATGAGTCCAGCTGTCAACCATTAGAACTTTATAATCGCTCCTGTGATGCTGGCGAAGATGAAACTGAAAGCTGCGGGAGCGACTGGTGTTCGCTAGTGGTCATGATTGTTTGGACGAGCCACGTGAAGCATTGTTCTTTTGCGCATGCGGGTCGGTTTGGTAGCTGATCTGTTCAGACTGATGTCGCATACAGATCACATTTAAAAGATAATGTGAACAGCCAAACAATAAAATCAGATTTGGTGAGAAAATCAGATTTAGGGTACTTTACCTGCTGTGTAAACGTAGCCTAAGAGACTGTACACTGAAACACTGATAACCTGCATTAGTTAGAGGGCTTTGTTGGTCTGGAAAGTCAGAACAGATTCAAAGAAAGCCGACATTTTCCCAGAGGTATAACAAATGGACATCTGTCTGTATCTAGAAAATTATGGCATGGGCCTAATTCTGGAATGCCGTTATTATCTAAGTGGGTCAAACATATTTCCCCTCCCTCAATCCCTCAATCCTAAAACAAATGTTCTCACTGACCCAAAATGAGTCACCCGTGGGAAATCGTGACTTCATGTTGCACTTTTTATAGTCTGAACAACTTAAGCACTTCATAAACATCAGCTTTCAGTTAGACTGAAATAAGTTTACATAATAGACTATATAGGAGATTTATTGACTATGTGATGACAGTTAGTCTCAGCATTCACTTGGTCAGATAACAAGGTGTACTTCAGAGCAACACTCTTAAAAAATAAAGGCTCCCAAATGGTTCTTGGCTTGGGAGTGTGTTTCTAGGAAAAAACTTTATCTTTTTATACTTTAAAAAGGCCCTTTAACAGCATTTTCGGAAATCAGAAGTGGTTCTTTGATGGCACTGCTCCAACAAACTCTTCTATTTTGGAAGTGTAACATAACACTGATCTCAGTTCCGCTTTAGCTTGGACGTATTTTCCCACTAGACATGGCATCATACCATTTAGGCTCACATCTGGAGTAGAAACAAATGCTTTCGCCAGGCGCACTTCATGATGTAGTAATTACTTAGAAATTAGATAGAAAAACATGAGCTGTGACAATGAGGCAATTAAGCAATTGCAATTCATCAAGAAGGGACGTTTTGCTCAGACGGTGTTGCCATATAATCAGAGTGCAATCAGTTAACATTGGTCAACAACAGTCAGCAGGCGGAGGCCTTTGTTTAAAATACAGGCACATTATGTCATATGCAATCAGGATCATTTGGCAGGGCCTTGTTTGAAAAGAGAGGAAAATGTGGATAATGGCTGTTTGGTTTGCTAGATGTGCTATACGAAAATGAGTGGCCCATTTGCTGTAGACAGAGGTATAGGTTTTGAAATAGGACTCTGATTATGGTAGAGACAGTGGTGATTTATGCAAGCCACACTGCTTTGGAAGGTTTCTTGTCACCGTGAAGGAAAGTTTTATATTCAGGTCAGAAAGTTCTGTCCATACAATAGAAAATCATTTAGCCCAAGAGCCGCTTTTGGGGCCATGCAATTAAGGACCTGATAGATGAGAGCAAAATAATGGCAGCCTGTGAAAGAATCTCATCTGAGTACAATTTCTAGTCCTATTACCATAGTGCTCTTTAAAAGGCAGGGATCATCTGTATTAGAAATGTTTTCATTCATATAAATATTATTGTCTATTGTGAGAATAAACCCAAGATGCCATAAAGACAACTTACTAGGCACTAAACGCTAAAGCCACAGTAATGTTAGACATTTGTAGCTTGTTCAGTCAAACAGAAACCTGTTTGTTGTTTCTAGTTTTGCACTGGAGCTGTGAGGCTAATGTAGCTAGGAAGTCGTGGAAGCTAATAGCCACCAGTTAGTTACTTTTGTACAAACTGTAAGCCGAAACCAAAAATGGACAAAAATTGGTACGGTCAAAATTCAAGCTTCAAGATGGCTTAGAGATTTCCTCACAGCATGACTGAAGCAAGTTTACATTTTGTATGATGCTGATTGGTGACTATAAGCTTCCATTACTTCATTAGCTACATTAGCCTTGGAACACCAGCGTGAAACTAAAGAAACACAAAATATATCTCAGCTGATCGACTACATTTGGTCTTGTTGTGAAATAAGCATGACTAACTCTAGGTTGTGCGAATTTCCATTGTAATTAATATAATTTTGCCTACGAAAACCCAGATAGCAAGAAGACAGAGGGCCCACTGAATGCAAAGCTGGCGGCCCACTGGCTTTTTAGCTTAGCATTTTCTGGGCAGCCCACTGGAGGTTAAGTAGAATGTTAGAAAAAATGCCACTTTTCATCAATCATCAATTTCCTTATTTTTTCTTCATTTCTTTCTTTTGTTATCCTTTGTAAATTAGTTTAGTAAATAATTTTAATAGCACTATCATAAATAAAGTTATACAGCTGTAACCAATCTAGCACAGTGTCAGCAGTAATGCTCATCAAAATTTATATTGTGGTTATTTCTATCAGTTGTTTGTCATATTTGTCTTTTTATTTTCCAAAATAAAAGCCTGTGTGCATTTAAAATCTGTTTGAGGAGATTAAAAACTGGTTAGAACTTGTATGCAGGACAATAATCTGGGTGGTCTAAGGGTAGACCAGCAGTGGCATACAGTCCCTAACCCTGACTATGTGTCTACTCCATTTAAATGACACGACTCATTTCTAATTCTATAGCAGAAATGCTTTCATCCATATATCTCTTACTGTGTAACACAGTTTTGATACCAAACTCAAAGCCTAATATTGTGTCTGGTCCTCCCTGCAGGTCTGGAAGCGTACAGCATCACTGGAACGAGATCTATAGCTTTGTGGAGCATCTGGCTCATAAGTTCATAAGGTAGGAGAGGAGTAGCCCAGATGTCAGCTGAGTATGCGGGTGCACAGATGAGCGCTTTTAATTTGGAAAGGTCAGCTGGACTCTTTCTAAACTGCATTTAATCACAGACATTTTCAGGAATTTCAAAAGCAAAGTTCAACCTTCAAGTGAAGGATTCATTAGAGTGAAATTTACTGTCCCAGTAATACGTTTTATTTGACCTTCAAAGTGATCCTTGGCTGTCTAAAGTCATATGTTATGAAAAGATACTTAACTATGACTTCTAGCATATGTCCAAAAACAATTTGTATACATTTCTTTCGTTCCTCAAGTGTGGTTGTTCAGCCAAACAAGAACATGTTTGTTGTTGGTAGCTTTGCACTGGAGCTGTGAGGCTAATGTGGCTAAGACGTCATGGAATCTAATAGCCACCCGTTAGTTACTTTTGTACAAACTGCAAGCCGAAACCAAAAATGGACAAAAATTGGTACAGTCAAAATTTAAGCTTCAAGATGGCCTTGAGTTTCCTTAATAACATGGTTTGAAGTAAGTTTACAATTTGTATGAAGTTAATTGGTGACTATAAGCCTCCATTGCCTGTTAGCTACATTAGCCTTGGAGCACCAGTGTGAAATCTAAAGAAACACCATATATGTCTCAGCTGATCGACTACCTTTGGGGCGATCCCACACGGAAATCTAATATATAGTAATATATAAACAAACATATGACATATATTAGCATATATGGATTTCCCTTATGTTAGTTTTACTTATATTAGTCACATATGGACATATATGTGATATACAAGCCACCTTATTTGAAATTGGCCATTTTCAAGTATGGGGGATATACATAGATCATCTAAGCCGCTTATCCTTCTGGGTCGCGGTGGGGTGCTGGAGCCTATCCCAGCTGTCATTGGGCGGAAGGCAGGATACACCCTGGACAGGTCGCCAGTCTATCGCAGGGCAGTATGGGGGATATATTTCAGCGATATATCAATATAAATAAACATATATTTATAACACAGTATATATAATAATATATGACAGAAAACGGTTTTTCGAATATGACTGTCGGAACAAAACCTTGTATCTCAAAAACAAAAACTTCACAGGAGAAAGCAAAAATATACTTTGGTTTACTTTTAATGTAAGTCAGTGTAACCAGACCTTTTTCCAAGTAATTCTGGGCCATTTCTTTTGGTCCATTCATCATGAAATTTACAAACAATGTAAAGGGGAATGTGGTACTTTCGAATTTTGTCAAAAACTGGAAAACGACACAGATGGAGATATGGGGTTTTGCTCCGACGGCAGCGATATATTACTCGTATATGTTAGCTTCATTCATAAGGTTTTATGCATGTTCTTTGTTTGTACAACATACTTTCTAATGAAGTGACAAACTCTAAAAACTTATGCAATACACATATATAACTATCTATATAACTATAAAACCTAACACAACACATATGCACATAAAATTTAAAATGTATACCTGACCCCTAATGATATATATGCATTTATGGCCATATGTCAGATGGTCAGCCATATGCCAAACCATCGATTTAACCAGACCGCAGTCCTTTATGTTCTTGTTCATTTGATTGTTGTCCTCAGTCCACAGCTACGAATGTCCTTCATCGTGTTTTCCACTGAGGGTAGGATTCTCATGCGGCTAACTGAGGACAGGTGAGTGAAAATATAGAATGCTGAAGATATAAACAGTCACGTCACACAACCCTTATTAAAATGAACTACTGAGCTTTGAGCATTGCCTGGACAGCGTTGCTTGTGATGATACTGGACCATATTTAACTTAGAAGGCTGTAGCATTCTGCCAGCTTATGCTTCCAGACTAAACTCTCTGACACTGACAACAGAGAGTGTCCAATTGTGATTTGGATCAGATGCGTCATAACAAAGATTGATGATGACAAATTTTACACTTCCATTGCCAATCCATGATTCCAGTTGGGCTAAATACCCTGAGCCTGATTTGGCAAAGGTCAATGACCCGTACAGTACAGGACAGCATGCAACAGCTGCTCCAAGCATTCCCTTGACGTTGCCATCATCTCGAAGACTTAAATCAGGCTGTCCAAGGCTTCAACATGTGTTTCCCAGTATTGCAAAAATGGTCACTTTTGTGAGCTGGATATGCCAATAATCTCTGTGAGCAAGGGTTTTCCATGTGTCTAGGAGTGTGGGATGTTTACTATCTTCCTCCTTTCCAATTTCATACATGCCTGATTTCCTGACCATCTGCCTTGCTGATTGCCAACAAAAACTAGAAGCAGCCTCTCTTAAAGTGTGCTAGCAACAGCCTCTCCTAATATCTACTTAAGCTGTTTGAAGCATAAAATAAAAACGCATCATTATGAAAGACAGCGCTTGATCAAGTGAAGGTGATATCATGGTATCTAATTGCATCCAGTGCCTAACTGGCTTCCAGACTGGCTAATGGGCGAGACTTTCTCAGTACACACGCAATATATCAGCTTTAACATTTTCCCAAATCAAATTGTTTTACGAGGAGAAGTCCCACACTTAGTTGAACCATGCCGACGTGGCTACTGAAGCTCAAATGCATTTTCCAACCAACTAAAGTAGACAAAGCCAGAGTCTGCTCAGAGTTACAAACTGAACACAGTGCTAAACGTGTTCAGATAGATCTCTTCACTAAACTCCAAAACACTCAAAAACTCTAAAACCAAAAGCCAGCTGTTCATAACAGCCCCCACAGAGCTCGGTTTTCGTGCCTGCAAGTGCATTGATGGATACTGCTGATATAACACTGGTGATCTCACTGTTTTAGGTTGCAACAGTGTTTTTTTCTCAGATGAAAAAGGCAGAGTGCTACTAGAGCCTGAATGATACGAAAACTTTGTGGCTAATACGATACCGATTTTAGGGGGGTAGCCCATAATATTGGGTAAAATATTTTTATTAAATTTTAATGCTACACTCCAGTACTTTTAGTTATGCAGTGTTTTACTGACTGATATGGCTGTCAATTCTTAATTATTAATTAGTTCATTATTATCACACTTGTTAAACTCAGTTAAACAACAGAAACTCACAGTCTTAAATAATACACTGTAGCCCTGAGGGCAGAGATGGCCAGAATCTTGTTCTCGTGCTGACAGTTAAGTTTGAACACATTTTATATGATTTTGTAAGACTTACCATGATGATGTTTCATGATTACGTTGCTCTGCTCTGTAGCTTAAGGTCTAAGGTTTTTCCCAGTCATCAGGAAATTGCAAGTTTGAATCCCATTAGTGGCGCAACCAAAAAAAATAGGCAGCAGTTATCGGCATGCTCTCAGTAACATCAAGACTAAAACTACAAAATTGAAATAGTGACATCTAGTGCATTTATATACACTTAATAATCTGATCATTATTGGAATTCGGCAGTTATCTGATTATTCAAGTTGTCATGTATACAGTATACTACAATTTCTTAGATTAAGGCCTAGAATTCTGATTTAAAAAATCAGATAACAAGCTGGATTTTAGCTAGTAATCAGGTTTTTCAGTGCACGCATACCCTTACTCTGATTTCTTTCATTTTCAGTCTGTGCATAGGTGAAAACAGACCGGCAATCAGCAAGCAGAGTTTAGCACAGCATTCATGAGACAGCACCAAAACACAAGGAATTTAAATATTTTTCATCTTCTAGATGATGTATATTCATATTTTCTGCTAAAGTGGCTTGTTTAAAAAAAGCCTCAGCATGAAGTTTGAGTTTTACGTTTACTTCACGTCTTCTTCTGTGAGCTTATTGGCAGAAATACAAGTACTGTCTGACTCATATAAACCCGGAGTTTTCCCTTTTTCTGATTACCCAAGTGCATGTAAATTGCTGCCATAATCTGCTTTACTGCAGTTATCAGATTATTAAGTGTATGTAAACACACTCACTGTATTGGGAAGGCATTAATCTGGGTATTAGTTAAAACTCTTGTAGTTCTGTCTGCATCCGCATTCAACGCATATCCGTTTTGCCAGGGAAAAAATTCGCAAAGGTCTGGAGGAGCTCCAGAGAGTTCTGCCAGGAGGAGACACATTCATGCATGAGGGCATTCAAAGGGTAAGTCAGTGACAGTAGCCATCTTGGCTTAATAGTAGCACTCATCCATTGACTCAGAACGGATGGCACATTCTTGGCCTTTTGCCCAAACATGTCACTTATGATTTCTCTTAATGACTTTAGCAGCTGAGCTAGTGCTGGTCCCTTGCTTGTTGAGAGAAGTGTGTGCAGAATCACAGTGTGTGCAGTTTGGTCTACAGTAGGCTGACATTATTTTCATTCATCTTCTAGGCAAGCGAACAGATTTACTATGGGAACTCTGAGGGTATGTTCATATGTTCACCATATAGACCACTCAACACCCAACCTGCTTGCATGTTATACGTTTTTGGTGCCATTAATCCTTAAGTGGTCATTATAACATATGTCAAAATGTCAACGTAGATTTGCTTGCCACTGTCCGCATGTGCAACACTTTGCCTGAAAAAGCATGCTGTGAAAATGTGTCCTTGGTCTTTGGATCTAGCACTGAGCTTGGTGATGTTGGTCTGAACAGGGTACCGCACAGCTAGTGTCATCATCGCACTAACAGACGGAGAACTGCATGAAGATCTCTTCTACTATGCTGAGAGAGAGGTAGGTACAAAGTGTGGTGGTGACCGTGCCCCCCTAACACCTCTTATATTTTGACTTATGCTACATAGGTAGCTTGAATTCATACACTGTTTAACAAACAACTATTTCAACTACATCAACAACTATTTCAACTACAACTACAATTCAACTATTAGCCCAATCCCATTTCACCCCTTGCCCCTACCACTTAGCCCTTAGTCCTCTGTTTTGCGCATTCACGTCTAGCGGTTAGGGTGTCCCAATTTTTGTTGAGATAGAGGGGTAGGGCGAAGGGTCAGGGCTACATGGCCCTCCAAATGGACTGTTATGAAAAAAAAAAGAAAAACTGGCAAGATGGCTGCGCGAGCGACCAAAGAAACCCACAAATGTGAGAATGCTTTCGTAACCAGCATAAAAAATCACTAATAGCATGCTAATGTCTCGGTAACTAGCTAGCTAATTATCCCGTTCCACCTTAAATAGTCCGGCAGTATTGACGCCTGAAGCGCCAGAATGTAACTGCTGCACCATTTAAGGTGGAACGGGAAAATTCTAACAAGAAGCTGGTGAATCGCTGACTTCAGCTTCGTATCACCAAAGAATTAGCAGTGGACGATAATAAATAATTGTCTTATACCCCCTCTTTGAAAGCATTTGATGCCCTAAATGTAACCAAAGCCCTGCGGTAAGGTTGCCGACCTTTACCCTCCTCTACTATCACTGAAGACAGGCCGGGTCGCCTACAGAGCAGCGCTAGTAGCCTGTTAATGAAGCAATGTTTGTTTGTTTGTTTGTTTTATTTGAGGGTCCCATTTCGTAGGGCAAGATTTCAACCACTACCCTTTGTAACTTCATTCCAAGGGGTTAGGGTGACACTCGAAAACAAGGGATAGGGGTAAAAAGAAGAAATGGGATTGGGCCTTAGCTTACTTTACAGCACCAGCTTGGTTGACATCTACCAATACCGTCTAAATAAGCCAATGTTTCACTTAATGAAGGCAGGGGAGGCCTTTTTTGCACTGGGCCCCATGAAATCCTAGTTATGCCACTGGTTTCACCTGAGGTCACATGCTGGCACGAAAGACCATATGTTCCTTTAAACCTGTAAAATACTTCAATGTGTGTCAGAACATATGGTCCACTGAGAGGCTTAAAGAGAAGCAGAGAGTCCTGTACCAGCTCAGCAAGTAAATAGATGCGCATGTAGAAAAGGAAAGTAGGTGGAGAGAACATGATAAATCAGACACGCTGCTCACCTTGAAACACACTAAAACACCACCACACTTCTCATCCATCAACAGGCCAACACTTTGATCTCTGCTTTTTTTACAAGAGACCCAAAGGGATCAGGAGTTCTCAATGATTTGCACTCCTCCCATCTGCCCAGTTTGCAATGAAAAAGAGGGTTAGTCATGACACATCAGCACAGAAGACCAAAAAATGGATCCCAAAATGGATCATCTCAGTCTGGCTGTACATAAATGTGAGAAACTCCAGCTGTTGGAGACTTGAGGTTAAACAAACCATCAGCTAGTATCATCTTGATGTGGGCAGTGATTTGGATTCTTTTCAGAAGAATGCAGTCTAAATTTTAACCTTTTCAACTCCTTGAGACCACGGGTGGTTCCAAAATGCACTTCATCATATTCTTCATAACTTTCATGTTTCATAAGCTACATTCAAAAGGTGGGTGTCGTATGAGAGCTGTAACTGTCTTCTTTCCAGTCAAATAGATGGGTGATGTAATTTTAAACCCTTATAATAAAAAAAGCTGAACTCACAATTTTTTTGTTTACTGAAAGTCGACCCATTTTTCCACAAATCTGGGCTATAAACTATAAACAGATGGCGTCTCTTCAGTGATCTGCTCTGTAAAAATTATTTTTATAAAATAATACAAAGAGCGTCTAAGATTTTTGGCTTTCAGCAGTAAATTGTAAGCATATAGCAATATGTATATGATCATAAAACACATGTTCTGTTCATTTGAGGGGAGCTTTTACAAACATAAATAAATAAAATAAAAATTTACATTTATTTCATGCAGTTCCTGAATAATTTGCCTTATGATTTGGTCATGTAAATTCAGATGGAAAAAACAAAATATATCCTGTTCAATAAGAGGTTAAGGAATGTAATCTGCAATACAACAAACCCTCGCTTGTTAAGCTATGTTTATCAAATCATTTTCACACACTTAATTTCATTTTTGCTTATAATCTAATTAAAGCTACTCTGTATGCTAAAGTTAATTTACATTGTTTAGATATTTATGCATTTATCATATTTATGCTTTTATCCATAGCAACTTACAGTTAATATGTCGCAGAGGTAGGCAAATGTAGCATTAGGAGTCTTGCCCAAGGACCCTTATTGATGTAGCATGGTGTGCTTGTCCAGGTGTGCTGACTGGAAGGCAGTGGCATTGCCAACTCTGTCATACCTACCATTTAGGGTTCTGTTGTAGTCGGACCCAGTAAGTCCAGTATATTTCATTGTATTCATCATCTTCTTCCATTATTCGTGTGTTAATGTCTTTAAATAGAAAAATAGATCATTCAGCCTCATAGACTATCACCCTTGGTCCAACTCTTAACTCATTTATCATGCCCTCAACTCATATATAATCGCCCTCTTAAATACAGAGCTACACATATGGAAGCAATGATGAAATAGTGGTGTAAATTGATGTCTTCATGTCTGACCTGGTTGTGCTTTCATTGATGTGTTCCTTGTCAGGCCAATCGTTCCCGCAGCCTGGGGGCCTCCGTCTACTGTGTAGGGGTGAAGGACTTCAATGAGACCCAGGTATGTTTGTTGCTTTGCTACATGTGGTTAAGAACAGAGAAGAAAAGCCTGAGTGGATACACTCTATGAAACGGTCACTGGGGCAGTACCCCTCTTATCACTGGGGTGAGACCCTCAAGGGTACATCTCAGTACCTTTAGTCAGGGAACATAATTGTACCATTACAAGGTACAAATATGTTCTTTTCACCTGGGAAAAACTTATTTAAGGTACACAGTTGGACCTTAAAACCACTGCTGTACCTTTGAGGGTATATTTACATAGTTTGTACCTTTATGAACAAAAAATGTACCTGCACAGAACCTTTATTTCTGACAGTGTTCAAAGAAAGTACCTCTGTGACAACCTTCATAATTTCATCGCAGCTTGCCAAGATTGCAGACAGCAAAGATCATGTCTTCCCAGTGAATGGTGGCTTTGAGGCTTTGCAAAGCGTCATTGATTCGGTAAGTGTTTCTATGAGAAGATTTGCTATGAACACCGTATTCCTAATAAATGCTTCGTTAGTGTCAAATACAAATGTTACATTCTTACTCACTGTACAACTATAGCAGCATAAGTTGAAATGACCTTAGTGAGTCAAACTAGTGCTACATTAACTCCATCAGGGGTCTTCAGCATCAAAAAAATTAGGGTTGTAGTTGATACATACCGATCAGGCATAACATTATGACCACCTCCTTGTTTCTACGCTCATTGTCCATCTTATCAGCTCCACTTACTATATAGCTGCACTTTGTAGTTCTACAATTACAGACTGTAGTCCATCTGTTTCTCTGTGTACTTTGTTAGCCCCCTTTTACCCTGTTCTTCAGTGGTCAGGACCCCCATGGACCCTCACAGAGCAGGTACTATTTGGGTGGTGGATCATTCTCAGCACTGCAGTAACACTGATGTGGTGGCAGTGTGTTAGTGTGTGGTGCGAGTGGATCAGACACAGCAGTGCTGCTGGAGTTTTTAAACACCTCAGTGTCACTGCTGGACTGAGAACAGTTCACCAACCAAAAATATCCAGCCAACTGAAGGTCCAACACAAACTGTGCAGCAGCAGATGAGCTACTGTCTCTGATTTTACATCTACAAGGTGGACTGACAAGGTAGGAGTGTCTAATAAAGTGGACAGTGAGTGGACTCAGTGTTTAAAAACTCCAGCAGCACTGCTGTGTCTGATCCACTCGTACCAGCACAACACACACCAACACACCACCAACACACCACGTCAGTGTTACTGCAGTGCTGAGAATGATCCACCACCCAAACAGTACCTGCTCTGTGAGGGTCCACGGGGGTCCTGACCACTGAAGAACAGGGTAAAAGGGGGCTAACAAAGTATGCAGAGAGACAGATGGACTACAGTCTGTAACTGTAGAACTACAAAGTGCACCTATATAGTAAGTGGAGCTGATAAAATGGACAATGAGCGTAAAAACAAGGAGGTGGTCATAATGTTATGCCTGATCAGTGTTTTCCCTAAAAAGCTTTCAGTGTACATACTTTTTCTATCACTGCATGGTCTTAATCTTTCAACCTGGAAACTGATTTTTTGGGCCTAAAATTGGCATAGCCACCAGATTCTGGAATGAGCTGCTTAATGAAAAATGAAAGAAGTACAGAAGAAACCATAAAGAACAGCAAATGGGAATATTCGGTCAGTCACGGTCAAGGATGCTGGAGTCAAATCAAGAAGAGATTTCTGAAAAGGACCTGCTGTGCCCTCACTATGGCTGCTTTTGATCCCACATGCTGGAGTCTCCTCAAGCAGCATCAAAGCAAGTTCACTCTATCCTATCTTTTTACATTCAAAGGTATTCATTTATATTTAACGATTCATCTAACATTAACGTCTAAACGCTGGGGCGGAATTAAAAGAGACCTTCTTCGGGCAGGGACTTGTCTGGTCAGGTCAGTAGTTGCCTGTTCCTCAAGCAGACGCTGAGGTCGCTGCAGCCGGACAGCATCTGTTGCCAATTAACCGCATGCTGAAAGCTCCTGGCTGGAGCCCAAGAGAATGAGACAGAGAGCTGTAAATCAGCAGGGTCTTCAGGCACTGAGTGCACACTTCACTGGACTTCTACAGGAGGCAGCGAGAAGGAAAGTAGACATAAAAGAACAAAAGAACCTCAAATCCATTCCTAGGTCGCTGTTCAAACAATGGCATATGTGACCTGTGGGTCAAACTCCACAAATTTGTTGCAATATGGTGGCAGGGAAGCCTTGACACCATGGTGAAGGGTCAGATAGTGAAGAGAATTCCTGAAGTCTTGCCTAAGCATGCCTGCTGTGGTACGAATATTTAAAATGATGCCAACTCCACTCTCTGTTCCCATCAGATCCTAAGGAGATCTTGCATAGAGATTCTTGCAGCGGAACCTTCCAGTATCTGTGCCGGAGGTGAGTATTTTATGAATCCCTGTGCCCAACCCCCGATCATCGAGCTAAGCTGTGGACAGTGGGGGACTCTAAATCAACCTCTAACTCAAGCTGGGATGAGTCACTGTTCTTTCAATGAAGGCATAAATAAGAGTACTGAAACTTCCTGTTTGATCCTTGTTTTGCTAGCTGGCAGAGATGATGAGTGCTTCAATGAATGTGGGCTCTTTGTTCAGGAATGTGCTGAGTGGGTTTATAGGATTAGCTCTTAAAAAGTTGTGCAGTAAAGAGTGACCCTCGTGAAGTTGTGGTCACCGTTTCAAAGAGAAGTTTTCTCAAGTTGGAAGGACTGGTCAAATGGTCAAAACAATCCTGAAAGACCTTGATCTCGAGATTTATACTGAGGCCTTGAGTCACATCTCAAAAGGAACATATTGGAGAGGACCTGAGATTATCTGAAGGTACAATCTGAAGGGAGTTGATTTAAAGACAGTTAGAGTTCGATATCAGAGTTCACATCTACAGCAGAGCTCTCCTAGTAGCCTTTGGTAAACTCATCCAAAAACAACTTGACCTTCTGACTCAATTTCCTCAAATGGATCCGCTTAGTCAGCAGAAAGTAGAGCAGGAACTATCACTATTGGTTTTGTACTGTCTGGCTTCGACTGCCTTGGATTTGTTACATCGTTTTGAGTGGAGCTACAAACCTCGTTCACCGCAATATGCCTTTCAAAGTCTCTGGTGAAGAAGTTCTTTTTTAAAACCTCTATGGTGGGGTTGGTGAGGTTTCCCAGAGACTGTTCTAGTGGATTCTGAACTTGCTGTAAAATCTCGGTACAGTTGCTTTCAACAAATATACAGACTGTTCGGTTTGCTACTTCATCTTTTGCCTAGTGGAAGTGATTGAAAGACAAATTCCTTATTAATTTAGCATGCATCTCCTTCTCCTGCAGAGTCTTTCCAAGTTGTCGTGAGAGGGAATGGGTTCCTCCATGCCAGGAATGTGGATAAGGTCCTGTGTAGCTTCAGAATTAATGACACTCTCACCAGGAGTAAGTAAGCTCTGTAACACGTACAGTGTATTTCCGGAGTAAAAAAAAACTTGGGGTATGCTAACGACTCTCAGAGGCAATGTAAAATCTACACAGATTCTGTGAAAACTTGTACCAGAGTAGGCTGCATGTTATCTAGCCTTAAGTCTATACTGTTCAAGCAACCACACAGTCATTTGGCTATGAATGCCAACAAAGGTGCCACAAAACTTAACTCCCTCCTGGAGTTACTATGAACCTGGAGCTTTGATCAGCTCCTATAAATGTATGATTAGCCATCACTCTCCTTCCAAGTGCTAGTTTTCAGAATATAGGATATCTTCAGCTCTGCTCAAATGAGTGCCAACCTTATTTTTCTTCTGATAATGGCATTTGGAGTTTTTAAAGGGCACATTTAGGCTTTTATAGGGTGGATCTGTGCCAGCTCAGAGATATAAGGGAAAACTGTTGCCACACAAGGGGCTAAGTGGAGCTAGCAGTGTCCTTCAGGCAAAAACCAAGCTCTACCCCATGCAGTTTAATCTGGAGGCCTTGCTTCTAAACACAGGGCACCTCCTGAGAACCATGCAACCCACAGCACAGCACAGAGGGCTCTGTTATTAGAGGTAAACAGAAGGAGGAAGATGAAATGCTCAGCATTTATCCTCTAGTGTGAACTCTGGCAAAAAAAACTATACAGTGCTCATTCTCTAACTGCCCCATTTGTAGTCCATGATCAGGTACCTTGGACAAGGCGTTTACCTGTATTCAGTTCATAAAAACCAGAACTATTGATTCAAAATACCCTTGCCAAGCAAATTGCCAGGTACCAGAAAATTATTTACAGTGGTAATTGACTGTGCAGTACAGATGTAGCAGATAGGTTGACAAAGTGGTGGGCTATTCCCTTAATTACATAGGCTAGTAGAGAACCTGTGGTCAATATTCACAACTGATTCACTACTAAGTAATTAATAATAGCAAATGTTTGTTGTCACTTTTAGTTACTAATTACATCTGCAACTTTCACTGTGTGTGTTCACACCTCATCATCACAAAAAGAGAACAATAGTGTCCAACAAACATAGTATAGGCACACTACGAACTTCAAGTCAAGTTGATTTGGGGAGCTTAATTTATGTCTTCTTGTGTCACTATCTAATAAAGTTACTTCAGTATGGGTTCATGCTTCTCCACCCACCACTGACTGTCTCACACCGCTATGCTTTGATGTGTAATGGGACGAGATTGCATTGGGTATTTCACATGCATTGAGAGCAATATGCCTTGGAGCAGGTATCAAATGTGCTGAACAATTGTAATTCCATTAAAACCGGACCTTTCAACTTCAAAGCCCAGTCATCTGCCTCCAATCTCACTGTACTGCATTACTAACTGGCACCAGCTTTGGCGCCAGCTCTCTCGTCTTCCCCCTCGTCTGGATAAAAGCAGCTCACTTTAGATGAGACACCACGTTAATTGTTTGTGTCCAATTAAAGGCCAGAACCTCCAGAAAGCAAAAAAGAACAGGCCTGTGACATGGAAGCAATTTAGGAAAAAAAAACAAGGAAATGCCTTTTCTCAGCCTCCCTCCAGTCACCCTCTAGCCAGACCGCCCCTGCTTTCCCACCCTCCAAACCCGCAGAGAACTTACTTAAGGTCTTTGTACAGGGGCAGATTGGTTGTTTACACTTGATCACTGTAAACACTGAAGGGGGTCTCTGCAAATAAGAGATAATGACACTCATGCACATCCTATGTAGTTCCAAACAAAGTAGGCCATACTTGACTTGACTAGCTGAGATCCCTAGTATCCCTCCCTCTGGCAGATTTGGTCCTTGCCTTCTCCTCCCTCCCATCTTAATAGCCCCAGCTTTCAGGATTAAAGGGCCTCAACGGAAAGGAACCATGTGTTGCTGCAGGTGTTAATCAGCCAAATGAATGAAAAGCAAAATTATCTAGCACATAAATACTAACTGGATACCACCACATACCACCCTCTCTTAGTGACAGATGTACCCCTAAGTTGAAAGTCCACCTCAAACGATGCAAGACCTAACTGAAACCGAACTACCCCCAAACACGCTGTCGTAGGTACACTTAAAAAGAACCCTGTGAGTCTCTGCACTGCTAGAAGTAGGGCTGCCACATTAGCCCTGTAAAATTCCTGGACACTCAATCAGCGGCTTGTATTTTTAGTAAATTCAGCAGATAGATGTCAGATTAGTTACAGAATCTCATCTTCTCTGCTGAAATGCTGCTTCGTGCCTAATCATGTCACCAGCAGTGCACTTTTCCTAAACTAATTTCCCTACATTGAGAATAACCTGACACAATCCTTTTATGCAGACGGTTTAATAAAAAAAAAGCACTTTTAACTTCCTATTTGGATTCCTGGACATGCTGTGGCCAGAAATGAAAATAACCAAAATCCTGGACAATCCAGGACAATCCAGGATAGGTGGCAAGCCTGCTTTGTGGCAGCGAACCAGATTACCACGGCAATCAGGAGTTCTGTTCAGGAAGCGACAAACACCGTACAAAGTCGTTAAGGTTGAAAAGATGTAGTTTATCTCAAAATTTTGTTTTTGTACTGCCAACTTTGCACTGTAGCACCAATAGCTCTGTTGTTGTATATGTCAGTTTGTGAGAGGAATAGTGAAGCTCAGTAAAACTGTTGATGGCCATGAATTTGGGGGCACTGAATTATATTGCGGAATGCAGCTCACATAAAAATTTTATTTGTTCCACAAATAACAACAGCTTACATAATTTCACACACTAATAACCTCAGCCACCCACTCAGACGACTGTGATGAAACTTGCATTGTCAGTGATTCTGAGTAATCTATTTACCAAGGATAAACCCAAAGCACATGTCTTTAGTTAAGAGAAAAATAGGCCATTCTCTCCAGTGCTATGGGTAAACAATCCAATGAAACACATAGACATACTACAAGGCAATGCACCAGTATGCTGATTCTTCTGGCACCGCTTCAAAAGCAAGATGACCTCTCTAGGGTCTTAGCTTGGATCGAATCCTCTTCTAATGGATGAAGGAAAAAACAGACTATCATTTGCACAAGTCTGCCCTTTGGGAGCTGCTCCTCACACCCAGATCCACCACCATCTCCTCCCTGACCCGGTCGAGATGTGATAAATTCTAGAATCTGATATGTCACTGGGTTTGTCTTGGCCCAAGTGATCATTCGGCTCTCTCGGGCATGCATGGAGTATCCTAATGCCTTATAGCTTCAACTCTCCTCTCCTCCCTGGACCTCCTCATCCAGGCTGATGTTTTAGAGATGCAGGCAGGCAACGTGTCGGTTTCCTCAGAGCTGCGGTATGTTATACTCTGGCCAGAGCAAACAGTCAAGCCTTGGGCTATGAAAGTAAGGGAATCAGTTTTCCATCATGGATGTTAAGTGGAATATCTATGTCCTTTTCAAGAACAATAACAACAGCAGCAGCAGCCATTTTTGGTCAACCAGCTTCTTAGATGTTGGATTTATCATGGAATCAGTCTCATCAAGTCCAATGCTTTGAAGTAAGCTCTCTGCTTTGTATAAAAGGTCTTAAAAGGTTGGAGCTCTAAGCATATACCATCTCCTCCACTCTGTTTTTCTAGTGGTGAAGCCATTGGTAGTGGAGGACACATACCTGCTATGTCCTGCACCAGTACTTCGAGAAGAGGGAACGTAAGTTGCATTGCTCAGTAAGGATTCTGTGTTGATGTGCCCTAAAAGAACCACTTTTGTAAATGAGATTCGGGGTGTGAAGAACCTTTTTCAACTTCTATACAAGTCATAGTGTTTTTTCTAGAATCCGACATCCAAACCACCAACCATTAGGAAGAACCTATATTTTTTCAAAGAATAAGATAGAGGTGATATAATCAGTGCAGGAACTTTACCATCATGTTTATGTTTTGCTGTAGGGCGGCTTCCCTTTACGTGAGCATGAATGAAGGCCTTAGCTTCATCTCCAGCTCTGTGACCATCACCACTGTGGGCTGTGTAAGTACTTTTCCAAATGTGCCGTCCTTTTGAAAGCATGTGGCAATGAAACCATGCTGTCAACAAAATGACATTTACAATTTGTATTAAAAAGTTTGGCAATGCCCTAATTGCATGCCTACGTGGAAATCTTGATCTGTTGAGCTTCCAAGTAAAGCCTGAAGAAAGCAAATGAACAAATAAATGGATCGCTGGTATTTTTAAAGATTATAAATTAGTGCCAGTTATAGATCTTTGGAGAAACACAATAGTTTCTTACCTGCCAGTTTTGAGATGGCTTCCAGTGTTCCCCACAAGCACATGGCATTGTACTCTACTGTTGTGACTCCTTGCAGTTCTGCTTGGCCCCTGGCTGGATAACCATCCCCTCCAGCCATTACGAATCATCTGTTATTTCAAAGCTAGCACTCTCTTCAGATGAATCTTTATCTTTATATTATTTTATCATGCCCAAAACAGTAATAATCCCTGTTCATGATGAGTTGACCATTTAAAATGGGTAAAAAGCTGGGAAATCTAAAAATTTCCATTTTGGACATGCAAGGTTTTGTTACAACAGCTACATACTGTTTATTGCATCTCTGTTTTTCAACAGTCCTCTGTCGTTTATCTTTACAGTCTGATGGTACAATCCTGGCCATAGCTCTGCTCATTCTGATGCTCCTGTTGATGTTGGCCCTTCTGTGGTGGTTCTGGCCTTTGTGCTGCACAGTGGTAAGACCATTCTCCAAATGCAGTCTTGGTGTTGAAATGCTAACACAGGGAGAATTAATATTGTGGAAAGGCAATTTACATGTCATAGCCGTTGTAATATTCAATTATCTAGACTGTCATTTCATTTAACGCACTGAGGATCACTCAAAGTAGCATGCTATACTATACTACTATACTACTACTAATTACTATACTACACACAATTTAACCACAGATATATTGACTCTGACTTACTGATGCCTTGCACGAGGTCTGTTAAGATGACCAATGTCGATACAGTAATTGCTCCAACTGTACAAATAAATCTGCATTTACAGCATTTAACCCCAATATGCCAAACTATATTTTTACCTCAGTTCTTGAGGCCTACAGTGTATGGAATACATATTACTTGAACCTCAGAGTTGAATCTTGAATATTTACCAACAGGCAATAGTCATTTAAATATTTCAGATAATTTATAAACATTGTTGCTAGTCTCCCATCCTGCCCAACAGACCTAAAGAAGCTAAAAATCTAGTAGAAAATGGGCCCAAAGCCCATCTGAACTGAAAAAGTTATTCAGAACACAAGACTTATTTAAAATCAATCTTGCGTTGATCAGAGCCGTCCTCATCTCATTTCCCAGAGATGGTCTGCACTTTTCAGACTGGATCAACTAATATTCACTGTATGCCAAGATGGCCACAGCTATCAGAAAGTTGTCATTGATACACTAACTGGCTAAATGCTCTTCAATACACCGATCAGGCATAACATTATGACCACCTCCTTGTTTCTACGCTCATTGTCCATTTTATCAGCTCCACTTACTATATAGGTGCACTTTGTAGTTCTACAATTACAGACTGTAGTCCATCTGTTTCTCTGCAAACTTTGTTAGCCCCCTTTTACCTTGTTCTTCAGTGGTCAGGACCCCCGTGGACCCTCACAGAGCAGGTACTATTTGTGTGGTGGTTCATTCTCAGCACTACAGTAACATTAACGTGGTGGTGGTGTGTTAGTGTGTGTTGCGCTGGTATGAGTGGATCAGACACAGCAGTGCTGCTGGACTTTTTAAACACCTCAGTGTCACTGCTGGACTGAGAATAGTCCACCAACCAAAAATATCCAGCCAACAGCATCCTGTGGGCAGCATCCTGTGACCACTGATGAAGGACTAGAGGATGACCAACACAAACTGTGCAGCAGCAGATGAGCTATCGTCTCTGACTTTACATCTACAAGGTGGACTGGCAAGGTAGGAGTGTCTAATAGAGTGGACAGTGAGTGGACACAGTGTTTAAAAACCCCAGCAGCTGAGAATGATCCACCACCCAAATAGTACCTGCTCTGTGAGGGTCCAAGGGAGCCCTGACCACTGAAGAACAGGGTATCTGTATCTAATGTAGCCTAAATACATCAAGAATTCACATGTAATATTTGAAGGTTCATCACAAGTCGCTATATTTTGCTGTTGACGTTTTGGCACATTAAAATATAAATGATCTCTGGTCCACAAATTTGTTGAGACTTTTAAATATGGCCCTTTTAGTGGTTGAGTTTGACACCTCTGCACAAAAACAATGGTCAATGGTTGGTCATTTCATGCTGTTAGTGGCCTATTCCTGACCAAGTAGTCAGTTCTTGGCCACAATAAGTGATAAAACCTACCAGATTCTCTGACAATAGGTACGTCTACATCACAAAACTGTTGGTTCCAGGAAAAACAAAGATAAAACAGTTTTGCCAAAACTCACTAGAAAATACATAGTTCATAGGTGTAGATGTTGCAAAGGACTTTTCCAGATATTCCCTGATCCCTGCCAGACCACCTCCTCTTATGAAGGGCACAGCAGCGGAGGTGACAGATGCCTGCTGGCAAAAGCAGCCCCAGACTCTGGATCACCTCAGTGCTTTCTTTTAAGGAAAACATACTTTAGGCACAGTAAATGCTTACAGGAGAAGTCCTATGAGGAAAGGCATGCCTCAGCATTCAAAAGAGGTCAGCTGGTCATGGGTATATCTCGGGTTTGAATCATCTCCGCTGCTGGATGCTTCACTGATTTATTCCATGTTTGTTTTGTCTTATCATGGAGAAAGGTCGACTGCCTGTAGCCAGAGCTCTTATGGGTTGCATGCAGCCTGCTGAAGTCATACGGGACTCAGTTTCACGCCCTATTTGCCCTTTAGCAGGTTGTTAAAACCTCAACGAGTCTGTTAGTGCCATGCAGGGGCTGGTGTGCAAATTTACTCCCCCTGAGAGTGACCCTTGAACCTCTTATCACCTTTGACTTCTCAAGGTGCTCAAAGTCAGAAGAGAATGTGGATCTGCTTTTGCAATTCAGGAGCACAAAGAAAACAAAACGTCTACCTTCTGAAGTCTCCTCTGTGCACACCTTCCAGAGGGAATTGTGCAATTGAATAAGATCGTAAATTAGTCATTGGAGGGAACAAAACAAGAAAAACAGTCCCACTTGATGTTGATGTTTCCCTAGCTTATCTGCAAATGCGCAAATTGTTAATAAACTGTGGTGAACTGGGATTTTTAGTAGGGTTTGGATGAGGAGTGACTGATAAGGGACAGATTAAGTGAGCATGGATCGAAAGGAAGAGCTGCCAAAATAAGTAAACTTATTTCAGATAGCTAAGGAAAGGGCTGTATTCTTCGTAGGTGCTTGTGGAATGAGATCCACTGCCCCAGGCTCCGGACACTGTGTCTTTTTAACATTAACATACCCCAAGCTCTTACTCCGGATCTTCTTCTAATTCAGCCATCCAACAGCTTTCAGTGAGGTCACACTTGAGGGATTATACAAGATTGGAATGTGTGTCTGGAAAGATAAGATGAGGACAGAAATTGCTCCCACCCATATTAGAACAGCCTGGAAATTAGCACTGGAGTAAGAGTGGAGCAAAGTTCACACCAGGCCAAAGAGGCAATAAGCCACATGTCCAATTGCCAAAGCTGTTTCCAAACCAGCAAAACACATTCCATGTTCCATGGTGATCAGTTTCTGTGGAGGACAGTGCCGGCCATCTCCACGCTGCATGCTCACCCCTACTTAATCAGAGTAGCCTTTCCTTAGCTCGGTTCGTGTCTCGTAGATTGTATAAAAATTTACTGAACTTGGGTCGCATTCAAGTCTTTGGGGCAAACAGATTTCCTTTTAAAATGAATGTTTTTACAAGCGCTGAAACTGAAAGTGGAAAAAGACTTGTCTGTTTTAACAAGGTAGCTCTGTTTTTCCACTGCTAGAATTCTCCCCATCAGTTTCAAGGGGGCTGGATTTCTGTTTAGGAAAGCTGCTTACGGTTACTATGGGAAAGCGCTCTGTTTTAGCATGTTTTAGCATTTGGACTGACTGGGAGAAGAACAGTCCAGCTTCACATTCATGCATATTTATTTGACTGGCAAGTCAACCGGGGGTTGGCTCAGACACCCAACAGAACCTTACAGAACCTTATTACTGAAGCCAACAGTCTGCATGGATTTTTCTTGCACTAGTTTAATTTGCACTTTGCAGTGTTTTTAAGCAAAAAGATCTCAACCATGCAAATCCGATCAGAATGTGTGGGAGGAACCGCAAGGCAGTATGTAGGTCTGCACTCAATTAAATGCTATTCTTGATTTAGTGCGTTGTTTAAGAAATTCAGTTATTTGAACTATTGATCTATTAAAAGAGAAACCACATGTAATTGACTACAACTTATATTATTAAGTTTAACCTAGTAACAGTTTTACCACATAGGTGTGGTCAGGCATCTGACCCCCACCCAAAAACATCACCACCACCTCAATCACCAGCAATGCCTAAGTATGCAAGTATGCAAGATATAAAATAATTAATTAATTGTGGTCACAGACTTCTGTTTAACTTGCTTTAGTTTGACCCTTTTATGGTTATACTGGACAATGTACTGGCTCTAAGGGTGTATGAGTTTTATCCTAACTTTTATACCAGTCTGCCACACATACAACAGCACATACAAACATACAAACAGTCAAACACACATGTAGCTGAATTCTGGTTCTTCATTCTCTCCGCAATTTAGTTGTATCCAATTCCGCCCTCTATCACATGATACAACCAGTGCTTCGAGGGTAAAGGCAAACACAAGCTTCCTCCAAACTTCCAGGCACTGCATTTCAAACGGCTAATACAACGTCAGTGGACAGCTTGAGCGCGCTTGGAGGAGAACGCTAACTGCCAGTTGTGTTACATAAGCTAACAGATGCCTGTGTTAGCCATCATCTTGCCGAGTAACGGGGGAAGAGGGAGGGCCATGCAGAGAAAACGAGGCCAGTTGTGTTCTCTTGGACTCTATTGTCAATGCTTAGATAGTTGCATCACTCTGGAGTCCTCCATGGCCTGCTTTTCTGAACGGAGTCAGATGTTTCAGTCACGTTTCAACAGAAAAAAATGAAAACACACAGAAGCCCCGCAACAGTTTGCTGTTGAGGGAGCGGATATTAGCGAGAAATATGTTTCATAAAATGGCTAATCTCTTGTTATGCTTACTGTGCTTCTGTTTCTGGGAACAGTCGCATCAAATGAAGAATCTATGGCTTAACAGCTGCTACTGATAGCATGAACGACTCGTAACATTTAACAAATTCCAGCAATGTTGCTGTCGTAGATGTAAGCATGAGTGCATGGGATGCATGTATGAGACAAAAGATTAGAAATTCAGATGTATACGCCACAGACATATCTACATATTGCTCAGTTCTTATTTGTCAATATAATTTTTGGAAGTGAATGGACTTATAAACTGTTTTTTTTTTTTAAAAAAACTACAAAAATAAACCATAGCATGATATTTACTGAAAGATTTTAGCTAGAGCATGATATACATTTTTGGCCATACCTCCTCAGACTGTTTTATGGTGCTTCATTCCTTTGTTTCATAGCGGCCTCACTATATGTTGCATATCTTATTGTGGGAATCTGCTCCCAGAACCTTACATTACATCAAATCATGGCAGAATTTAACCATAAAAGAGGTCATGAAAAGTTTAGGTGGAGGGATATAATGCAATGCAGGAAGATCCAGTCGGCCCCTAAGATATAAAATATTATATTTTAATGCAACAGAATGGGTAAATAATACCAACAATATATTGCTGCTGTCGGAACACAACCTCGTATCTCCATTATCGTTTTTCAGTTTTTGGCATAGTTTGAAAATGCCTGTTGCCCTGTGTGTATAAATTTCATGATGAATGGACCAAAAGAAACAGCCCAAAATTACTTTGAATAAATTCTTTTTCCACTGACTTACGTTAAAAATTACGTTTTTTTCCTGCAAAGTTACCATTTTGGAGAGGTTTTGTTCCGACAGCAGTGATACAAGAATGGATTGTTCAGTGATCAGCTTTTGAAGGCATGTTTAAAGAAAAGTAGATGCCCCCCCGTTCTGTGTTCCAGTTTGAATTACTATAATAAACAGCACTATTACAGAGCACTGACAGCACTGCCCCCTTGAACCACTGAACCTCTGAACCCTTAAAAACCCTACAGCCTATTATTAGATGTATAGCTTTTGTTGACAGAGCGAGTACTACATAACCACAGGAAAGCAGAGGTTTGTAAAGTGAACGTTTCAATTAATCACAGCATTCCTTCAGAGCTCAGAGTAGAAAACAACAGGGACCAGACATGCCTATATCACTGTGACATGTTTTCGAGTTTTCCTCTGTTTCTCTGAACGGCCCCTCACACGTCATTCTCAGAAACTTTCCAGCGCGCCAAAAACCAAAACAAAAACAAAGCGGACGGACAAGAGGCATGTGAGTCGTCACGAGGTGCTTGCGTGCAGAGAAGTGTAATCACTTCCTCCTCACCCCCCCGCATCCTTCTCCAGCAGCCCCCTCTCCAGGTTAAGCAGATCTGGCCAGCAGATTTCTAGGTCATTTTAGCGTGCTTGTAAATAGTGTGCAAAAAAAAAGCAGTAGGGAAGAAGGGGAGAAAGCAATTTTTTGACCATGTGTTTCTGTGTAATCTGACTTTCTGGCACACATTGAATGCATTACTTGGGCCTTTGACATGTTGGTGAAAGAGGGGCAGAAAAAAAAGTGTTTTTGGGCTCTGGAGAGCATGTGGCCTGCCATAGCAGCATTAGAGGACTCACGTGAGACCAATAATTCTCACCCGTTTCCTTCCATTTTCTGTCTCTTTTTCTGTCTCTCTAGATCATCCATGAGCCCCCGCCACCGCCAGTAGAGGAAAGTTCGGTAAGACTGTTTTCTTTCTCAATTTTTTTTTTTTTGGGGAAATCAGGCTCATATGTTTTTGCTCAACAGGAAAACATGATGTAACAAAACACAAGATCAATTTAAATGAAATGCCCAAAATATATAAATCTCCTACAATACACTGCAATAAAGTAAATCATATACAAATATGAAATGAACATGTGAAAATTTACAATCAACAACAATCAGTTGTTTTTTCCCCCCCCTGCACTTTATTACTATATAGAATCAGTGTAGAATAATAAAGTGCATGAGGAAAAAACAGGTAGATGGATGCGAGCCCTCTATACAATCTTATTTTATGAATTTATTTTTACCAGTCACCTCCTTCAACACTGCATATTTACTCAGTTTTCTTACCTCGCTGTAAATGTGGTGCTACTATTTTACTGGTGCTTTTTGTCTGTTTGTTTCACAAAACTAAATATTTTGTGACACGTCATGTATCATCAGCATTGTGATGGTGTATTTTTGTCATATTGCCCGCTGTCATAACAGAACCTCCAAAGTAGATCCCAAGAAGAAAAAGCTTTCAAGATTACAAAAACTACAAAATGTGTTCACGTAGCATTTAACACAGTTAAATGAGTCCTTTGCCAGTAAATAAAGTGGTGACGTAAGCTTTGAAATGTAAAACTTGGAACAGATGTTAAGATGCTGCGGGAAGCAAGCCCACACAACCAGAGAATACAAATATTTTCCACATAAGCTAATCCTGAGAGAGAGAGAGAGAGAGCGAGTGAGAGAGAGAGCGAGCGAGAGAGAGAGATGGTTACACTTAATTGGAGAAAAAAAACAACATCTCAATTATTAAATCCAAAAACACTTGCCTCACTTGGCACTTTTATTTTGGAGATATTTGATATGGTTTACTGTGAATTGAAATAGCAGTGAGCTTGAAATGTACTGCAGGTCTTGGTCCAGTTTCTGTCAGAACAATGAATGGAAACCTTTAGAATACGACTGAATGCTGCTGGAATCCATGACCACGTTGTATTCTTGCATAATGCTGTTTTCAATTCAGTTCACTCCTCACTGTTATACCCCTGGTAGCAAAACCTTTCCAAATGTCTGAAAAGTTTTGCTGCTGGAGGCAGGGCTGAGTTATACGACGATATTTTATTGTTATTGTGATAAATTATGTGACAATATGCTATTAAGAGCTTGCAGAACACTGAGTAACTATGTTTCACTACAAAGAGATCAAAATAAGTCCTGTTTAATTGGATTTAACGCAGTGCATTTTGAAAAGCATAGAATAAAAATCACCATAGTTTTAAGTTTATGTATTATTTTTGTTATAGTATTTCTGTGACAGTACAGGTTCTATTTTGTCTGTTCCAGGTTATTTAAGAAACAAAACAATATCATCATGCAAATCATGCATCTTGAAAATGTCGGAAAAAAACGAGGAGGTTAAAAAGCAAAGCTTTGCAGACATTTGGAAACACTTTGCTAATTCCTCTTTTGTCACATTACGGTGATGTTATTCAGTGAGGACAAGATAGTGGACATTTGGAAGCTTTTCCGAACATGCACAGCAATTTTACATAGTTACGTGCCAATTTTTCGCCTGTTTACAATTACAGACCAGTCAATTGACGAAATGTATGAATGCTGCTTTCAGTAAACACACATCTGAAGGCACAGGCCTGGTTGTGCAAGCTAGGGCCTCATTTCAGTTTTTAAATGCATATTAACCAAATGATAAGTGATCGTTTTGCTCCACTGGGGCAAGGCATTTGTTTTTGTCGCAACAGGGTCCCACTTAAGTTTTCAGCGTCTCTGTGCGTATTTACATGTGCTCCACAGCTCACTGTAAGTTAATGACATTAGTGAACCATTTTCATATGCGATCATCTCTGGGGAGAGATAAAAATTAGATTTATATGTAATTACAGGGGAACAAACTAAATCATGGCCTCTGAGTTTTTAGCCCTTCATTAGATCATGCGTTTATTGTTACTGCTGCAAATCTGTTATAGATTGTATGCTTGGAAAGTGAACTAAGGCCTAAAAAAATAATCTTTTGAAGATGATGTCATACTTTTTGCTAGTCATTATACATGGTTAACTAGTTGGACACACAAGGACAGAAAAGAGGAGTCTTATTCTACAGTAAAACAGGACTCCCTTAACGCTGATTGGAACCGAGGACGTCAGGTCAGTCTATCCTTAGCCAGTGTGTAACGTGTGACCAGTAAGCAGACGCTCGCGGATGTAAAACAGTGAAGAAGCTTTACTTGGGGATTTAGTTCGAGATATCATTGTCAGTACACAGGCATGGGTCAGTTCCAAAGTCAGCAAAAATACACAGAAGGCGATCATAACAAAATAGGCCTAGGCAGATCAAAGTCCAAAACACAGGCAAAAGTCAAAAACCATATATCCAGCAAACCAGGCTACAGTACCAAAAGGGCAAATCCGAAAATCCGAGAAACAAAGTCAAAACACAAGGTCAAAACATGGGAGATCAAAACCAGAAAGAACGCTCAGTGGTTTCACTAGGAAAACAATACCTCGCACTGAACCTGACTATAGCCTGGGCTAATATACTAACTAAAACAGGTCATGTGAGAAAACATACAGGTGAAAATGATCAATATTCAGGAGAACTAGAGCGGTGATAGGCTGCTGATGATCTTCCTGGAGTCAGGTGATGAAGCAGAGGATTCTGGGAATCGTAGTTTTGAGGCTGGCTGGCCGAATACGTGACACAGTGGTAAACTCAGCACCCCATTGATATTTTAAGCACCCTTTAACTTTTGAACTTTGAGCTACATTAACCTCTGAATGCTGCAAAATGGTTCATCAGTTACATGGGAGCTTAGTTCTATACAATAAAACCTCAGAACTCATTACAACCTACCTACCTAGTCTTAGCTCTATTGGGCCATGATAGATCGGTCTGGCTTTGCTCCAGATGCAATATTGCAGGACCTATCTGAAAGTCTGCTGTTACTATATTCCAAGATGGTTTTAAAGGAACAGATCAGCAAAAAACGTGCCTTACCCCAAATGTAGTCAGTCAGCCAAGACACACTTCCCTCAAACCATTTGGAGTTGTTAAGTAATCTCAGATAGACTTGCTTGTGTGGTTTTCCGATGCTGTATGACAAACTTATCTGTATAAAATGGACAAAAGCGTCTGAATCTGTTCATCTTTAAGCTACTTTTGCCTGTTTTATAGATAAAAGTAGGTCATGCAATGTCAGAAACCACAGAAGCAATTTATTAAAGATAAGCAATCCATGTAAAGCAAGTTTTGATTTATATATCATTGCTGTCCAAAGAAAAACATGTATTTCCATTTTTGTCAATTTTTAGTTTTCTGCATTATTTGAACATGGTGGCTGTCATCGTGTGAAAATTTCATGATGAATGGACCAATAGCACAAACACACACACACACACACACACACACACACACACACACACAAAACCCCCCATCTAAACCGCTTATCCTTCTGGGTTGTGGGGGCTGCTGGAGCCTATCCCTGCTGTCATTGGGCGGAAGGCAGGATATGGACCAATAGCAATGCTGTAAAATTACTTGGAATATCTATACATAAACTTACATTAAAAGTAAACAAAGTTTTTGCCCTATCCTGTAAAGTTACCATTTTGGAGATACTCTTTTTCTTTGGACAGCGACGATATAAAGATTGTATGGTTTGTTAGCTACACTGGCCTCATAGCTCCAGGGTAAAAAGTGAACTTCAGGCAACACATCATGGTTGATCAATTATATTTGGGCTAAGAGAAAAACTACAAATGGTGTCTACAATCAACACGTAACCCTTTAAAATCCAAGTTTATCTTAAATTCAGTAACTACACAGAATACGATGCAAACTGGCTGAGTAATTCTCAGGTCACTGAAGTGTGTAACAGACGTTTGTCTTTCAAAAAGGATTAAACAGATCTGAGTGTGTCTCTCCTTTAAAGAAGAGTTAGACATGTGCATGTGGGTGGTCAGGTTGAGCTGATAGGCCAACAGGAAAAGTTTAAGGCAAAAAGAAGAGGCGGCAATTTCATCTGAAGGACGGAGGGAAGAATAAAGCCTGTTAAACTAGAGCTGGAAAAAATGAAGTAATGACTTGGGCGGGTCATATCGAACTGAGTTTACGGGATCAGGGAGAGTGAAGGAGGGACAGCAAAAGGCAGCGTCTCTGGGCTCTGGTCTCTGAAGAGGCCAAGAAATGAAAATGTCAAGAAGAAAGGGTCACACCTTATTTTGGCAATGCACTGGGCCATCTGGAAGACTGGGCCAAAAACGTGCTCTGAGCACCATAAAAACCCAAACTGGTTGAAAAGTTTCACTGTTCTTGCATGGTTATGCACAGACAATGAGTAGCTTGTATTGCCGGCTATTATTCTCACCCCTTAATTACTTTATCAGGATGAGGAGGAGGATGGAGTTCCAAAGAAGAAGTGGCCTACAGTAGATGCTTCCTACTATGGAGGGCGAGGTGTTGGTGGCATTAAAAGGATGGAGGTAAGGCTCTATGACGTTTAAATACTGTGAAGTGGACCATACAGCATTGTAATATACAAACAATATGCACAGAAGCTCAGGGAAGTGTCCAAAAGGTTGTCAGTTATATCAGTCGTACTGTTTCTGTATTCAGTGTCCATAAAAAAAGAATTGTGAAAAATTAAATATACAGTTTTCCTTTTACGCCAAATGTAGTCACCTAGCCAAGACGTGTGGTGTCTGACGTTTGCTTCTTTACATTTGCACAAGGCCCATGTAACTAACAAGCAATGGAATCTTATAATCTTATCAAACTGCATGTCTACATCATTACACACACTGTACATTTTCTAGATAACTGTGTTGTAGAAGAAACAACCTAAAGTCTATTTTTTAAAAATGCAAACATTGGACCAAACAAGTCCTGGCTGATCGACTACTTTTGAGGCACGAGGAAAATTGTGTAAACTCCATTTTTGCCAAACTATTGTTCTCCGAAGTGTTCACTCTATTTTATATAGCAGAAGGAAATTCCCTTATGTGTGTGAAATACGAACCATTTTTAAATGGATCAGTATTTTATCATTCATATGTTTATACATCTATTGTTAAATATACCCGAACTCAACTACCAAGAAACAAGAGACTGCAGTCTACATCAGCTCTGAGGCAAAAGCACAAGGCCAGAATAGCACTTAAATGTAACTAAACCACAGACAGAAAACTCCATTTACTATACCATAAGGACAAAGAACCTCAATAAATCTGTCTGCGATATACAGCTGCCTTTTCGCAAATGTACAAATAAGCTACAGCCCATTAAAACTTGCTTTGCAGCAAGAATATCCATAGTTTACAAAGATGGCAAACAATCAAGTTTACAGCGAGTGCTGCACTGATTCTCTGGAATCGTCTTAGTTGCATCACAGTTTCTAGCACAAGCTTCTAAAAGCTATTATGTTTTGTTTGTTCCAGAAATTAAATGACGAGGAAAAGCTTTAACCCAAACATTTCTGGTAAACCAGCAGCAAAAACAATGTGGGTGAGCAGAAAGAATATGCTTTATCTCCATCTTGGTCCCTGACTCCAGGTACGCTGGGGAGAGAAAGGATCGACTGAAGAGGGTGCTAAGCTGGAGAAGGCGAAGAACGCCAGAGTAAAGATGCCAGAACAAGAGTTTGAAGCGCTACCAGCCCGGATCCTCAACAATGGCATGCGGAAACCCCCAGGTCCTCGCAAGTGGTACTCACCAATTAAGGTGAGGATGGTGACCAGTAGCACCCTAGCCAAGTTACACTGTGGTCTAACTTAACACCTATATTGAACATGGGGTGGAGTTTGAAGAAATAGTTTAACCAAAATAAACAAATCTACATTTATGGTATTTGGCAGATGCTCTTATCCAGAGCGACTTACAATTATGATAATTTTACACAGGTAGGCAAAGATAGAGTTAGGAGTCTTGCCCAAGGACTCTTACTGTTATAGTGTAGGGTACTTGCCCAGGCCATAAATTGAACCCCACTCTACAGCATAGAAGGCAAAGATGTTACCAACTACACTACACCAACTCTGAGGTCCTAAGCCCACTTCTTACTTTTCTATTGGAGATATAAGACAACAGCTGCTGACACTTAATGGAGTAATGCAGGCATAAACCGTCACATACTTTCCTCAAACTGTGTTGTTCAATCTCAAAAAGCCTTGCGTATGTAGTTTCTGACACTGTATGGCATTTTGTTATCTATGAAAATTGTCCAGACTTTAAGATGGCTGCTACTGCTGTCTCTTTAGATAATTACAGCATACCAGGAATTTCCATGGTTTTGCCAAGTGGTTGAACAATCCACTCTCATTCTAAAGGGTGTTTTTCAGATATGATTTGTGTTGAAGATGACATCAATAGCTTGCTGAATAAACCTACTGCTGTTTCTATGAGGCAAACTGTAGTTTTAACTCCAGCTGTGTGATGATGTTTGGACTTCTAGATTTCCAAACACTTTTATTTTTTATCCAGCATTTGGCCTTTGTTTCACTCTCGATCCTGTAAGTGTTTACGAAATGTGTCAACATATCATACCCACTATACTCACGGGTCATGGCACCAAGTGTAAACATTATGTAAAAGATATTTGATCTAGTGCAGTTGGTGTATCACTATTGTGGTCACCCAATATGTGATGCCTAGAAGTAACTGTATAATGATATGGGTCTTCTAGCGAGCAGCTCAGCTGACAGCCATTTGTACCAAGTATTTTCCCTAAGCCGCACTTCATCATAGCTGAACCGATTCCTCCAGCTTTCTGGCTCATGACCTAAGCTGTACATATGGCATTGGAGAACCAAGTTAAGTGAGGTAGCCCTGGGTGTGGAGCTCCATATGCATGCTGCCAACTGGTGGGGGTCTGTAATGTAGAGCAGATTCACAGGAGCCCGAGGTGGCAGATCCAGCGCTTCTATTACACACAAACTTCTCTTCATTTTACTCCTACATTATGTTCTGCTTCTTTAGTTTTCAGTATAGCTATACTCTCCTGTATGCTATTTATTTCCAGTACTTTGTCTCATTAATGACCTTTTATTTTCTCCTTAGTTTCTCTTAGTTTTTTCATTCCTCTGCATGTAAACAATGTGCACATACAGCTGGCTATTAAAAATGTCTATAGTACTCTCTAATTGCATGCCTGTCCATTGTGTTTGCTAATAAACTGGCTTGTAACTCGTAAAAAGCTGAACTCCATGTAACTTGCATGCTAATGATCACTAAACCAATAGCCAAGCCATGATTGAGTTCGAATGTGGCTCTGAGTCTCTGCCAGTTTGCTAAGGGGGAAGGTCAGAGGTTAGCACAACTGCAGAATTTGTATCCAAAGAAGGATGTTGACCACTGGGAGATACTGCAGACTACATTTTGGCTTCCTTTTCAATGGTTATGCATTAGCCATATGCATTAGCCATAAAATCGACTTTACACAATTCTCCCTTTACCCCAAATGTAGTCAATCAGCCAAGACATACTTGGTGTTTGAAATTTGCTTCTTTAGTTTTGCACTGGAGCTACGTGGCTAATGTAGTTAACAAGTAATGAAAACTTAATCATCACTTAGCATTGTGCAAATGTCACATACTTGCTATAGACTTCAATAGTTATCGCAAATACACTTGCTTACGTAGATTTGGACACTGAAAATGGACAGAATTAGCTAAAAACAGCAGCTGAAGCCATTTTAAACCCTTAAATTATGGATATTGTGTGTAACATTATGAAACTTGATAAAACTAAAGAAGCAAACTTCAAACACCAAACATGTCTTGGCTGACTGCCTACATTTTAGGTAATGGGAAAACTAGATTTTAATTAGATTTTTGGCTAAACCATCACTTTATAAATGCAATTATATGTATGTAAGTAATATTAATAATGATAATCTCATAAAGCATTCTGACCTGATGTGTCTGCTTTGTTGGGATATTTCAGGGTAAGCTGGACGCGCTGTGGGTGCTGCTAAAGAAGGGCTATGACCGAGTGTCCATCATGAGGCCTCAACCAGGAGACAAGGTAAGAACCTCAATACAACCTGGAAACAGCAAAAAAGTGGTAAAAGTGACAACGACACACCTCTTTCCTGAAGATTTATTTTTTATTACTATCCATGTTTCAGAATAATAGCGAAGACATCAAAAGTATGAAATAACTCAAAGGGAATCACTCCAATCAGAGATGTTTACTCAACACATAGCTATGCTCGGCTGTTGTCCACATAACTATTATTTGATCATTTGTGTGGCAACACATGTTTATGCTGATCTGATTATCAGTAAAGACATCTGCTTGTTATCCACTGCGTTAAAATGGAAAATGGACTGATAAATGGGTTGCAGTTCGAGCTGCAACATTCCATTTAAAACTGACTTCAAAGGTGCTTGAGAAAAAGAGGTCTTGTGATAAAATGGGGCACATCTCAAACCACCAAGAAACTTATTGTTAGCAAAGAGCTTTTGTTTTAGGTTGTTGAAGAACACGCAAACAACTGTGACAACATGATGTAGGAGTGCAACATTCAAACTAATGTATGACCAGGAAAATGAATCAAAGTCCTACAAGAAAATACGCACAACTTACTACAGAAATCTGAACTCAATTATGTGTGTATGAATGAATTACATTCATTACATTCATCATTTTTCTCCAAGTTGACTATAAAGGCAAATACAAATGGGCCAATAACGAGACGTTTATAAAGCTTAAGATTTAATGTGGCCCTATTGCTGGATCAAAACTATCCAAATAACATAATTCACTTGCCCACAGTCAGTGACATGAAAAATTTTAGCTAACAGCAAAAATAAAGGACAACAGCACATATATAAAACAAATACATGCACATTTTTAATGGATGACAGAACTTTACTGCATGTTCTAGTCTTAGTTTCAGTGTATTCATAATGACCACTGTTAAGTGAGGGTTGCAAAGTGCATGAAATAGCCTAATTGGCGCCTATATGGCTTAGCTGGTCGCCTCAGGATCTAATCTATGAAGCCAACACATCGATTGACGATTCTATTACATCTGATTCAGCAATTGAGGTGTATTCGTACATCTATCAGATAGACTGCATTAATGTTTACATCTAAATGTTTTAGATTTGTTGTGAGCAAGAAGATGTTTAAGCTTTATGGTATTTCAACATTTTTTAATTTAGGTTGTTTTGGAAATAAATTCATACATAGGCAACTTCACTAGCTGAAACACGCTTTGAGCATTTAAGCATGCACCTTTAGATCAAAATGCCTTTGGAATTATGAAAAATACATACTTAATCAGGGGTGTAGTTTACTGATGCACCCGACTAAAAACTTTGACTGGGGAGAAAAAGTAAAGAAAAGGTCAAGAAAAAGAAATCAGCCAAGTGTTGAACGTTCACCAGCACCGGCCAACAGAAATTACTGTCGTACTGTACTCAGTTGTGCAAACTGTCTCTACAGAAAGTTGACTAGCTATTAAAGTGTGTTGATCTAATCATTCATCCTTTTCTCCCCAGTCCAACATGCTGAACTGCTAAGCAACCTTTAAACCTGTCAGTCAAAACCATAAAGCCTGGCTTTATGAAGCTTTCCCCTGGCCGGATGAGAGCAGACGAATACAGCAGCATCTTACAGCCAGAGAGGAAATGAAAAGCAGATTCCCACTGACACAGGGAAGCTCACAGTGTGTTTAGCATAGATGCAGATAAGATAGATCTGAGGACTTATGTTTGCTTATAGCAGACTCAGTGTATTCTCAGTGTATTACAGTATAGATGCAGCGGCATGCTGACATAAGAGAAAGTCACTGGCTGCTCTAATATAGATAACAGGATAAGATCTGTTAGCTTGAGCTGTTAGTGCTGGCTTGTGTTTACAGTCCAATGAAATGAAATCTTGACTCTGGGCTGTAACCTTCAATGCACAGGCATCAGAGAACAAACAAATCGTCGCTGTCGGAACAAAACATCTCCATTTTTGTTAATTTCTTTTATTTTTGTAATGTAAAAATGTCAGCTGCTCTTGCGTTGTGTCAAAATTTCATGATGAATGCAGAAATACAAGTGGTCTAAAATTAAATCTAAAAAATCTTGTTAAAATCATGTTTCTTCTTTCTCCAAAACAACTTAGACTAAAATCTTGTTAGAAGCATGTTTCTTCTTTCTCGTGTACAGCTACCATCTTGAGGACACAAAATTTTGATATGAAACAGAATACTAACAAAATATCTTCAACAGTGAATGACTACATGGTTAGGACTCATACAGTAGTCAACTTTAACTGTTTATATTTGTCTTAAAAACTAATTTCCGGCATTTAAATAAAAGTCTTTCGATCAAAATGTATGATTATGAAAACCATACGTTCCATCCAGCGCGTTCAAACGTTTAACTGTTGTTTTGGTGAAAATGGAGTTTTTATTCCTGATGCAACAACCATCCATGGCCAGAAGTCTCTCTTGGTGGGTGGCATGGTCCACGTTCTCAGCGCGATGCTAGCCGACGTAGGCATCTGTTAGCTGACCTAATAGAATTAGCAGTAAGTGTTTTCCTCCAAGTGTCTTGAGCTGTTCAAGGACTATCCGAAAAGATGCTTCATGCATCTCGAGGAAGCATGTGCTCTTACCCTCCCAGCTTGGTAGCATCATGTGAGATGGGGACACCTAGCTGACTGTTAGAAATGAGACATGACTAAATTAGGAAAAAAACTGGACAAAAATGAAAAAAAGTTGACCAGCAACCATCCTCAATGAGTTTAGAAAGGTCATTTATTTCTGTACTGGAAAACAGTGACACTGAAAAAAGTTTATTCTTAACTCCTCTGTAGATCATTATTGATAGTAACTGTTGTCCCACAGATGAACTTTTTTGCAGCCAAAATCTTACAAAATTCTAACATCTTAATGTCAAAAAAATCAGCAAATAAATATTTTGCCACTTTTCAACATCACACTTATTGTGTTAGACAGCTACATGTATGAATAGTGCCTTATTCAGGAGTCTGTTTGTGGATTTTAAATTAAATAAATGTGAAGCAACGTTTGAGGTGCAAAGTAATATAATCAAAGTCATATTGGTTGGTTTAATCCAAGATGTCATTAAATTGAGTCTCAAAGTATTCCAGAATCTGCTTACTTAGCTTAGAGTGCACATCAGAAACAGAATCATTTTCCAGGGTTACAGTCATACAGTAATAAACACTAACAGACAGTGCAGATGGGCAACAAGCAAAGGAGTACTGAGAGTAATGAGACACACATTTTATATGAATTATTTTTCCCATGTAGGTCAATGAAACAAGCAAAGAAAGTGCAGATTCTAAACTTTCAATCGGTACCACATTTGTGTTTGTAAACAGAAGAAGAGTTACTGTATGTATGTTACTTTATGCAAGTTACTTTATGTATTTGTCATTTTTCAAGTTGTCAGGCCAGTACAGAACGTAATTCAAATGTAAAGCAAAATTACAATAATAACTCTGTCCTTTAAACTAAATAGCCAGGACTGGCCTTTTAAAACTTAAGAAATCTTAGCCAGTTTACATTGTAGCCCATGTGGTAAATGAATAATAGGCCTTAGAACATAAGAAGCCTTTTAAGAGGTTAAACAGTGTAAACATTAAGGTTCATTCTCTGGAAGCCTTTCCTCAGTTTCCAGTTTCAGGATGCATTTCAGTGATCTTCCAAAAAATATAATGGTGAAGGAATGAAATTAAAACAAGCGGAGGAGTTTCTTTTTGTCAGTCGCTTGACCTAAAATGACAGGATCAGCAGACTATAAACACATGTCAGGAGTTTAATGGTGCATAGCAGCACCACAGGCGAGCTCTGAACTCGTCCTCAGGGGCATGTACTTATTTTCCCTCCCTCGCTTCTAAACATGCCTCAATCCTAGATCGAAAAATAATGCCCAAAAGACTGAAAATGAGAAAGCCACCTGTTACATGCCATTTCTCCCAGCCCAGGCAAACAGACAGAGGCGGAAATGTATTTACCATTTCCCTACAGCACTGACAGCCATATAAAAGACATGGTTATTTTGGGGAATACGTCATTCATCTTACTTATGTAAAATTATTTTTTTGGAACTCTTCTTCCAGGTTGACCTCTTAACCTGCAGGTTTATTATTTAGTTATTAACTCTGAGGAAGTCAAGAGATATTGCTGTCGTTTTGATTTGCTATTTAAATGTAATTGTGTTATTATTTACATAGTTTGTTAGGTACTGAACTACATTTATATTTGAATTGCATGCCTGACTTTTTTTCTGTTGAGAGGACTGTACTTTTTTAAATATGTTTACTTACAAATGTGATATTGATAAGTTTCGTGAGCTACATGTAAGATATAATTCATATAAAATTACATACTTTGGTTCTTGCCAGCGACAACTGCATTCATCTTAAGATTTATGCAGAAACTGCTATTAATAATTGGGTAACCACCACAAAAACGATTTAGCTATTTACTAATAATTAGATAGTCATGAGAAATTGAAGTGTGGACAGGGGTTAAAGGGACAAGACATTGTTTAAGTGTTAAAACACAGTCACTGACTTCAGTTGTGCCTGCTTTATAGTGAAGAGTGAACACCTTCTTAGATATGCATCATACTTTCCACTCTGTAGCCTGGACGGGCAGGCCTGTGTAGAGAAAGCGAGAGGAGAAATGAGAAAGCCATAATAATCTTGGGCCACATAGTTTGGCAACAAATGGACGTGTCAGTGGTTATGTTATGCAATGAGGGAATCAGTCTGTTGCCTTGACCTGTAGATGGAAAGCAAGACAGGGCATCACATGGAAGGCACTATGAGCGAATACAGACAACTATGTTTGAAAAATTGTCATATATTGTACATAACTGAGAAAATCAACATATTGATAATCAATCACAATATAATGATGCATCCCACAGAAGTGGCAAGAGGACTGAAAAAGTCTGTTTAAGTAAGAGAACTGCTACTGATGTGATAATTCACTTAATATAAAGCAGGGGTTGGCAACCCAAATTTTACGAAGAGCCATTTTGTCCTTT